AAGGGTTTATGGTCAGTGTAAATTACGATTTGCCTACCTTCTAGTATGTGGCGAAAATGCTGAATGGCCTGGTAGACCGCAACCAACTCCCGATAATACGTTGAATATTTTGTTTGCGCTGACGTTAGCAGCTTTGAGTAGAATCTGAGCGGCTGGTGTACATCACGGACGATTTGATGAACTACAGCATCCATTGCGTTGTTCGATGCATCGGTCGTTAGAGTCAGTTCCGCAATCGGGAACATGTGACTCAGGAGAGTAGCTTTGCCAGTTCATCCTTACAAGCCGTAACTTCTTCGTTGGCTTCCTCGTTCCATTTTATGATGGTTTTGTCGTGCTTGATATTGCTCACAGCGTTGGGCAAAAGTTGGGGATAAAAATTTATCATTCCAAGAAAACGTTTCAGATTTTTGGCCACAGTTTGGTTTCGGAAACTTGCGAATCGCCTCCACCTTTACATCCACGGGTCTGAGCCCTTCCGCGCTGATGGCGTGGCCGAGGAAGTCAACTTGAGTTCTGCCAAATTGGCATTTGCTGGCATTAATCGCCAAAGGAATCTTCTTTAAACGTTCGAAAATTTCTCGTAAATGTTTTCCGTGTTCGAATGGATTCGCAGAAGCCACGAGGATATCGTCTATATATGCAAACGCGAAATCGATTCCTTGCACTCTCCTGAGTCACATGTCCCCGATTGCGGAAATGACTTTAACGACCTATGCATCGAACAACGCAGTGGGTGCTGTAGTTCATCAAATCGTCCGTGTTGTACACCAGCCGCTCAGATTCTACTCAAAGCGGCGAACGTCAGCGCAAACAAAATATTCAACGTATGATCGGGAGTTGGTTGCGGTCTAACGGGCCGTTCAGAATTTTCGCCACATACTAGAAGGTAGGCAATTCGTAATTTACACTGACCATAAACCCTTAATTTACGCCTTTTCACAAACCGTAAACGATGCACCTCCTCGGAGAGCCAGCCAGCTAGATTTTATTTCCCAATTTCCTGGTAAAGAAAACGAAGTTGCCGACTTATTATCGCGAGTTTAGACGATGGATGCGCTAGACTTCGATGTCATCGCGAAGGCACAGTGCTCAGACGAGGAATTGACGGAATATCTCACTTCATCAAACTCATCACTACAGCTGAAGAAAATTACTATACCCAACAGCTCCGCAGTCTTGATCTGCGACGCACAAAGAGCCAGGTTACGGCCGATTATACCAAGCAGCCTACGTCAACAGGTAATCGGAAAATTACACAGCCTCGCACATCCTGGACGTCCGAGGACGATCCGAGAGGGCCCCGGTCCAAGAGACCACGAGCTCAGAATAACCTTACATTTTTAACNAAACTTATTGTGGAAAAGCAACAATAATTTTAAAAAATGGTAGAAGTGATAGCTATTTCGGAAATCACCACATTTCCTCATCAGACTTCTATCAGTAGGATTCGAACCGACGACCACCACTGACTCAGCCAGTTGCCTACGCACTGTGCTAAGTTTGTCTTGTTAAGTTTTCAGTTTTTTCTAAAACAGAGAGTAGCAACAAGTGCGATGTGATTAATTGTAATAATGCGAATTTGAAGATATACTACCAGAACATGGGAGGTATGCGTACAAAGTCATTACGAATTCTGCAAGACTCATCCTTACATGAGTATGATATAATAGCAATAACTGAAACATGGTTTAATAATAGCATAAATTCTTCGGAGTTCTTTGATCCATACTACAATGTTTATCGCTTAGATCGTTGCCCATCTTCAACCAGATGCGTAAGAGGTGGTGGTGTTTTATGAGCTGACGTATGCAGTAAACTTATATCTTTACCCTCTACTGATATGCAAATAGAACAGATTTGTGTCAACATAAAGTTTGCACAGAATAAACATGTATACATTTTATTATCATATGTTCCACCTAGTAGTAGCTTTAGAATCTATGAGAGTCATTTAAGTAACTTTTCTTTTGTAGCTAACAACATGAATGAAACCGATGTGATTGTTGTCTTAGGTGATTACAACCTAGGTAATATCTCATGGTTTCCAGACGGTCATAATTGGCTACCGTATATTGTTAGAACCGATTCTGAGTCTTTACTTACTAGTACGTTTTTAGCTAGTGGGCTCAAAGAAATAAACGGAGTTTTAAATAATAACGATAGAATGTTGGACTTGGTGTTTATATCTGATGAATTAAAAGCTTCATGTATGGAATGCTTGGCGCCAATGTCGGTCAATACCCAACATCATAAAGCTCTTACAGTTGAATTTGCATTTTATGATTATGAAGTCATTTCAAAAGAATGTGCTCCAGAAAGAAATTTCTGTAAAGCTAATTGAGACGTAATTAAAGATATTCTCGGTATTATAAACTGGTCAAATATAGATGCTTCAGGTGATCCAGAAATATCGTACGGTCTCTTGCGAAACCAATTTTTAAAAATTATTTCTTCATCTGTACCAATGAAACGTGTTCGGAGCAATAATAAACCTCCTTGGTTTAATCTTAGATTATCGAAGTTAAAGAATTTAAAAAACAAGGCTTATAAAAAATATAGGTTAACTAATAATGCTGACGACAAATTATCATTCTTGCAAATTCGTAAAAGCTTTGATTGCCTACACAGTTTTCTTTACAAGCAATATATTTTTAAAAAAGAGTCAGAATTGAAACGAAACCCTGCAAGCTTTTGGCATTTCATTAACAATAAGCGGAAAACAAATGGATTTCCAACTGTCCTGCACTACAATGGGAGTGAATCTCATAGTCCGCTTGAAGCTTGTAACCTCTTCAGTAAATTTTTCCAACAGACATATGAGAAATACAACGATTCGCACAACAGTACATATAATCATTTACCGCTGGATGAGATTTGCTCTTTTGACATATCTGTAGATGATGTGAAGCTAGCAATTTCTAATTTAAAATCCAATACTAAGGCAGATATTGACGGTATTGCCCCAATATTTTTTAAAAAGTTGTGTGAAGTTATCGCTGGACCTATTGCTTCGATTTTTAGCTTGTGCATCCGGAAAGGTAAATTTCTGGATGCTTGGAAAGTATGTTCTATTACTCCGATATTTAAATCAGGTGATCGAAATGATGTTACGAATTATAGGCCAATTGTAAAACAAAGCACAATTGCAAAAATCTTTGATAATATTATCAACACAAATCTATTCAATCATGTAAATACATTAATAAATGAGGGCCAACATGGCTTTTTCCCTGGGCGATCTACATGCACTAATCTGTTATTATTAACAAAGGAAATAGTAAATTCTTTTGAAGATAAATCGCAGCTGGATGTTATCTACACCGATTTCGCCAAAGCATTTGATAAGGTTGATCACTCTATTCTTTTGCATAAATTGAACATGTACGGCATAAGAGGTTCCTTACTCGATTTCTTCTTAAGTTTCCTTAAAGGTAGGAAGCTGTTTGTGCAGATTGACTCAAACAAATCTACTTCATTCGTTGAAGCGTGGTCGGGTATTCCCCAAGGGACACATTGCGGCCCATTGCTGTTCTTAATTTTTATTAATGACTTACCTCGCTATTTACATCATGCGAAATGTCTAATGTTCGCTGACGATGTAAAATTGTTAATAAGAATCAACAATATATCANAATGTCTAATGTTCGCTGACGATGTAAAATTGTTATTAAGAATCAACAATATATCAGACTGCCTTAAGTTGCAGGATGATGTTGATTCGTTTCAAAGATGGTGGTCTTTTAATAATTTAAAGTTAAACATTAGTAAATGTTATGTAGTATCTTATACAAAACGAGCCGCCAGTTTGGAGTTTAGTTATTGCTTAAGTAGTTTAACTATAACCCGTACTACAGAAATAAAAGATCTTGGAGTTATATTTGACAGTAAGCTTACCTTTTCCAAGCATGTCGGTCTTATAACTTCAAAAGCTTTCGGAATGATTGGCTTTATAAAAAGGAACACCGCGGATTTTAGAGACCCTCTAACTCTAAAAAGTCTGTATACTTCTCTAGTTAGAAGCCATTTGGAGTACTGCTCTCTAGTGTGGAATCCTTTTTATGAAGTCCGTACAAAGAAAGTCGAAAGAGTACAAAAAGTGTTTACAAAGCTTGCTCTTTCTAAAATGTTCGGGTTTGCAAACTATCTGCCCTACATAAGTAGACGCAAGCTTCTTGGACTACAATCGCTACAAGACAGAAGAACATGTGCTTCCCTGATCCTTGTTTATAATCTAAAAAATGGTAGTATTAACTGTGGTAGTATATTAAAATTTTTTAAGGCTCACATTCCTTCACGTAATTTAAGAAATANATTAACTGTGGTAGTATAGTAAACTTTTTTAAGGCTCACATTCCTTCACGTAATTTAAGAAATACTCGATTGTTCGAGGAATCAACGCATGTTGCAAATTATGGCATTAATGAACCGTTAACAAGATGTATCCGGTTGTGTAACACTTATTCTGCTCTCATAGATTTTAATACTTCCTTTTCTAATTTTAAACTTAATCTCTTTAGAATTTTTAATTAAGCATCTGTCCTTAGTCTGTAAGAATTTAACTGATCAGTAGACTAAATATATAAATAAATAAATAAATAAATAAATTCTTGTTGCTTATTTTCCACTATTTCACTTTGCTAAGCCAACTACAATCAATCGCAGCTATTCCGCTGCAATTCACTTGATCATGTGGTTGTTGGTTTTTGTTAATATTTCTATTATTAGAATGTTTTAACTTTTTAGGTGTGCTCGTCCTTAAGTTATTTGTTTCTTTGTTANTTTTTTTTTGAAGTTTGATTAGTTTTTGTGAACTTTATGCAATTCTTGAAATTTTTATTTTCGTATATTGCATTGTATTTTGTTCATTGTATAGGCTTACAAGTATGGAAAGCGCCATTGTGTTTGTTTACATTTGAAAACAGCTGAAATCACCTGATTTTCAATTTTCTCATTATCCGCACAGAGTTACATTCAAATTTCAGAAAAAATTTTAAAATGTAAATTGAGAAATATTTTAGAAAAATGTGTTTTTATTCATTTGAATTGATTAAATAAGATACAAACTAAACACCCATGATGTTGCATAAATGCTGGCAACAGCGTATAAGAAGTCAGGCAACATTTATTGCAAGCAACATGTGTCCCGATGAGTAGTATGAGTGTGTTTGTGTGAAAGCGGTATCTGATACTAAAATCTTCGGGCCGAATTGCGGTTTGCATGAGGGAAATTTTCCGGCTTTGTCACCCTTATAAAAGGCCCTAAGGGCGGCCAACGGCATTAAAATACAGTGGTGACGTGCAAAGTGGAAGTTGTGTTTAAAGCGAAAGTTAACGCGCGGAAGTGTTGTGAAGTACATACTATAAAAAAAAGAATATACATATGTAAATGTTTGCAGTGGTAAAGCGAGTTAGAAGCTATTCCGCTAACTGTTCGGTTTTCGCCCAAAGTGAAAGTAGCGTAGGAAAAGGCTAGAATTGGAGGTCTTTAAAAACAAAAATCAAATAAATGCTTAACCACTTGCCTGGGACCTACCATAGACGCATGCATATAGGCAGGCACGATGCGTATATATCTACGTGTGGATGTGTGGGTGTATGCATGCAAATATGCAAAATCAGAGCCCTGAAGTATTTTTAATATTGTTGATATATATTGATGCGTTTTAAGTCGCCAGCAGAGGGGACACTAAATTACCTAATATCCTGCAAAAGACACGCCATATACGGGCCAACAGCGCTTTACCAAAAAACAAAAAGGAGGAGGGACACAAAGACGTTCATGGTGTCTAACCACAACACTGATGCACAATTACCAGCCGTCACCTGCGCTAAATTGGTTGAGAAAAGTATCCAATTTATAAGCCTTCCTGAAGGAGTCATATACTCTTGGGAGGAGACCATCGGCACTGCTGATACACCCCAGCGAGTTTTCTATCAACAACGTCTCCAGCTGATGTGATGCCCAACAAAAGTGGGTCAACGACCGTCAACATTTTCTAATCGGGAGAAGCGCAACAAAGATCAACATCATAGACGCAGGAGCGGGCTGAATTAAAGGAAGAGTGAACCACCAAACCAACGACTACGTGGGAGCCGCCAGAGCGCAGCAACAACACCACCAACGTATCACTCATCACCAGAGCTCAGCACCAACACCATCAATGTCCGACTCAATACCAGTAGTGGAATTCGCTAACTTTTAACGACGCCAATTTACGAGTTGTTAGTTAAATATTTGTGTTGTTTACAGTAACAATTGTTCGATTCACTAATTTATCTTTAACGACACTAAACAGCTGACTTTCGCTATTTATGTAAATAAATAAAAAGTGGCACCCCTGTTATCCGAAATCTGCGAAAAGCACAAAAGAAAATTGGAAAAAAATTAAAGAAATTTATAGTTTGTTCTTGAAAAGGTAAGTATTGTAATGAATTCAAGCAAAAATAATCGTGCTTTATAATTTAATTACTTTTCTTTTTATATTTTAGGATGGCCTCAACTAGCCAAGCAGCCACTACACGGAACCGCGCTTCAACGGAGCAGTTGAGTGCAATGATAGACTTATTCCAAGAAACTCCGGGGCTGGACGGAGGTAAGTTTCATCGGCTGCATGGCAAGCTGGAACACGAAAATAAATGGGAGGAGATGGCTTCCAAGCTAAATGCCGTCGGAGGAGCTGAAAAGTCCGTCGACCAATGGCGTACGGTAAGTTATAAGCCCACTAAGAAAAGACCGGTGCTGTGCGGGAAAACTGTGATTTGTGAAAACATAATAACTTTTGTTAAGTTTTGTTGTTAACTTAAAAATATCGTTTTTATTGCAAACATATATGTACATGTACATGNAGTTTTGTTGTTAACTTAAAAATATCGTTTTTATTGCAAACATATATGTATATATGTACATACAAGTGGTGCATAACTGTGGAGTCGATCCCATGCATTGCTACTGCGCACAGTCTCGTTCTTTGTGTGTACGGACATACATATATATTTATGCACATACATTCTATGGAATATTCTATCTGTTTATTTCTAATAATCCTTTTTTTGCATTCTTTCATATGTAGGTCTGGCGCGATTTGAAAAGTAGGACTAATGTTCGAGTGCGAGACCGGAAAAGGCAGCAGGCGTCAACCGGAAACCGGCCCGTGAAACAGCCTCCTTTAACGGAGCTGGAGGAGCGCGTGGTGGCCATTATTGGAAGCCACTAAATTGAGGGCCACGAGTCGGTAGCAGAAAATGTACCATTTGACTTGGTCAGTTTTAACTGGATTATTTGTGACCCATTGTTAACCACTTTTTTGTTATTAGGAGCTTCAATTGGCCCTGGAAGACGGTGAGGAGATAGTCTTTCTGCGTGAAGCGGTGGAGTCCGAAGACCAGGTAAAAACTGAAGTGCGGCCGGAGACTCCAAAAACGCCTACAATGAGAACTCCGCGCAGGGGATTGAAGAGGAAAAGAGAGGAGGAGCAGAGCGGAACCGAAAAGAAGTTTTTGGAAGTTACACAAACTCAAGCCGCTGCAATGAAGGTAAATAATTTGTTATTAGGAGATTTTCCAATTTTTAATAGTTTTTTTTAAATACGTAGATGCTGGCGGAAAGCTTTTCCAGACTGGTGGAGGCACCATTCCAGCTGGCGGGGGAACTCCGGGTATATGGAGAAGGAAAGCCTGCGCCGATGCTATAAATAATTTGGCAAGGGCACTCGGTCCCCAATAATTTTTTTAAATCTACTTAAAAGATGGTATTTCCTGATACAGATATTCCATCATTACTGGATTTGGAAATACCATCTTTTGATTGGGTTTTAGGTTAAAAATTAGGTTAAGAAAATGAATTTGTCCCATTTATTTAATTTGCTATAGTATATAATACATAGTTTGTTATATTTTATACTCTGGTTGCCCGAAAATTAGAAACGCGACTTCTTTTCAAGTTCTGACAATTTTTTTTTTCTTAATTAGTTTTAATTTATTTAAAAGAAAAACTTGGTCATATTATAACGAAATCCATATAAAACAAAGTAGTAATCCTTGTACAGTATTTATGAAAATTTAAATTTACCGAATTTTTATAAATCCTGTACAAGGTTTATAACTGTGTTTTATATGGATTTCGTTATAATATGACCACTTACTTTACTTTTTAAGTAAATTTTTTTAAATCAATACGGCATATTCATAGTCGAAATAAAATTGACGCTAAGTTAGTAGCAGTTTTTTGACATACAGCTATAGTCAAAGATGTAGCACCAGAAATCAAAATGATATTTTGTTTCTTTATTTTTAATAATACTCATTTAAAATATAATTCAATCTATAAAAGAAACCACATAAATAAAAGTTTCAAAAATTGCACAAATTACAAAAAAATTAATAGAACATGAAAAAGTTTTAATCAGAATTAAAAATTTTTGTAAAAACTCTGATTGAAAAGCTTGAAATTTTGATGAAACTTTTTGAAGTGATTAATTTTTGTGTAATTTTTGAATTTTTGAAACTTTTATTTACACTGCTGGAAAAAAGTATTGGCACAGACAATTTTACACAATATGTGCAAACAATTTTATTCTAATATTTTTCCGCTAATGTTTTATAAAACTTTGGTTCATTCTGCAACAAAAAGAAAACGTGAAAATATAATTTCTAGCCTTTGCGGACAACTAGATTTTTTTGATTTTTTTTTTAGTATGCACATTTGTAGTCCTTTAAATTTTATTATAATAAATTGAAGTAGGTAGGACTTATCGCTGATGCCACTACTAACTTTGCTTCAATTTTATTTCGACTACGACTATGCATCACTGCCGGCCCGGCCCCTATTGCAATTGTCAACTATGTATAAATATTCTCAATACCATTATCAATCAAATTGAATTGATAATTTATTTTTAAACCCAAGACTGTATAGATTACTTTTTAGTATTTATTTTATTTTTCTCTTCAATTTTAACTGAATATTTTTAAATTCAATATTTTTATTTCCCACTTTATTTAAAATATTCTCCTTAATTTTAGTTATTTATTAATAAAGTACCTGAAGGATCTTTTAATTTTTAAATTGCTGAAGTCTGTAGTAGTAATAGTTCTAAAATAGTCTATGGATGTACCCTTGCGGTCTGCTGATTAAGTCAAGTGACATTTTGACTAGTTTTGGCTATTTTTCTTTTGTTTATTTAATGTTTATATTTTTTTTATAAAAGTTTAACACTTTACCTAGCCAGCACCACAGAAATCCACTTTTCAAATTTCGTACAAAGATTATGAAAATTCGACAAACTTTAACATTTGCATCCAAAAATTCTAAACTTTTCATTTAGAATTTTTAGAAAATTTTTGGGGATGCAGTTTTGTTGCTCATTAAATTTTAGGGGTTAAAGAGCAAACTTCAACACGTTGCGTCAACAAAATTGCGTTGATTTTTAATAATTTTTTTAGCTTACGGTATTAAGCATTTTCTCGCATGCTCGACGATTTCGTTTGTATGGGAGAAAATGCGTAACACCATCAGCAAAAAAAATTATAAAAATCCACGCGATTTTCTAGCGTCTTGAAATTTGTACTTCCTATTGAAATTTAATGAGCTACAAAACTGCATTTCCAAAAATTTTCTAAAAATTCTAAATAAAAAGTTTAGAATTTTTGGATGCAAATGTTAAAGTTTGTCGAATTTTCATAATTTTTATACGAAATTTGAACTGTGGATTTATGTGGTGCTGGCTAGGTAAAGTGTTAAACTTTTATAAAAAAAATATAAACATTAAATAAACAAAAGAAAAATAGCCAAAACTAGTCAAAATGTCACTTTACTTAATCAGCTGACCACAAGGGTACAAAAAAAAATATTTAGGGAGTACTCACAGCGCTCAAAGTTTTCCATGTATTTTGTATGGGGAAAAAAACTAATTTACGTAAAAATGGTATAAAACTCTTGAAAATCAATATTTTTCAATCGTAAAACTGTGGTTCTCTTCAGGAGACTTAAATTATTAATATCCAATTGTTTTATTTAAACAGTTTTTATGATTAAAGATTTTTTATTGATCCCCCCATTGCATTCTCTAGGACCTATAAGATATAGTAACCATGAAAAATTTGTTAAAGGAGCAATTGGGTATTATTACCGGGAATCTCCTGAAGATAAACAAAGTTTTCCCATCGAAAAATATTGATTTTCCCGAATTCTACACTATTTCTACGAAACGTTATTTTTCCCCCATATAAAATACATTGAAAACTTTGAGCGCTTTGAGCACTCCCTAATTTTATTTTTTTTTCAAAATAAAAAATAGGGCTATTTTTTTTTGGTATAGAACAATCCTAGGGGTTGGCGGTATTAAAAATGCGACCTTATTTTTTTACATACATTTTTGGACCACTTTAGGGTACATCCATAGACTATTTTACATATTACAGACATAATAACTGATTATCAAATGGCAGAGGTCAACACTTTTTTCTTAAGTTGGCAATATAAAATGAAGAGGATAAGAGCGGGTGATATTTACATTTTTAATAAATGGTATACCTACTGAAAAATATTTGATTGTAAACTTTAATTTTTAAAAATTCTTTAGGAATATAATTAAAAAATTTCTTTGGAAAGTTTTAAGAAAACAAGTTTGCTATTAATCTTTCTTGTATGCGTTTTGCAGTGGAAGATGATGGATTTAGGCTACCGAAAATTCTGTCTGAATCCTCAATGTCTGTTGAAAAATTATCAATTGGATCGTTCACTCAACCGAAGGTTGTGAAGAGCTGCACACGCGTTGGCGACTTTACCAGCGACAGCGGGGTCATATAATAGAACCCTTTGTTGCGATAAGCATCGCCAAGTTCCTTTGAGGACGCCAAAAAGTCGCTCAATAGGGCTTCGTGCCTTTCAGAGCGCTTCATTGTAGCAAAATTTTGGAGACCCTTCTGGCTGGTTGGGTAAAGGCGTCATGAGCCATGGCTCTAAGGGATATCCAGAGTCACCTTAGAGAAACTTCTTTTATTACAACATTTTAAAACAAATTAACAAAAAGACTTACCAATTAAAAACATGTTGCGGTTTCCGTTTTCAAAGGCTCGCTGCATGACTTGTCGCACTGCAGAGGAGCACAAAATATAGGAGTCATGTCGTGCTCCCGGATACTTTGCGTTTACGTTTAAAATCTTCAAATTTGGGTCGCATATCTATACCAAATATATGTCGCGGTGGTAATTATGTAATAATTTTCTTCACTAGGATTTGCTTACCATTTGTACATTCAATGGGTGGTAGCCATGGTGATTAACGTACGCCTCCTCATTGTTTTTCGGATAGCCCCAATGGTTCTCCCAACAAAAAGAGCAGGTACTGAGGAGAATGTTCCTTTAGCAGCTTGACGATCCATTTGCGTCATGAGAAACTTGACTTCCGTAAAAAACACGCGGTTGTTTATTACATCTGTCACTTTATGTATACATCGGCTTATTGACGACTGGCTCATTGAAATGCCCCACTGCTCTCCTACAGGGCGCTGGTAACATCCAGTGGCATAAAAACGTAAAAAAGCCAGAACCTTCCAAAGTACAAGATAAGTTATAATAAACTGCATTAAGCTTAAAATCTAGTGCCGGACCGGCTTTTCAGCTGATACTGCAGTTATTCTAGATCCTTTTAAATGTATTTCTAACCGTTGAACTAGATCGGCTGCCAAGCTTGGTAGCCTGTATAATTTCCGGAACTCCGTTGGAGCCAGTTCAAACGGGTTGTCCGCACTTCGCAACATACGCCGATTTACACTCGACACGTTTAACTGCTGCTCACGTTCCGATAAATTATAACCAACGTATTCAAACGGCATATTTTCAGTATATTTATTATTTATTTATGTGCTGGAGAACTTTTTATTTTCGCTAGCAACACCAAACTAGACGTCGTGTACTTAACAACAACAGCTGATTTTACGCTAGCGAGTGTTGTTACAAAACGTTTACTGAATCGATAAATCGATAAATTTGTCGTTTAGTTGACTTAACGATAACAAGTGTAGTTAAAATAACGTAGTGAATCCCACTACAGTCCCAGCAGCAACGGAACAGCAGAGCAGCCGCAGCACATATACGACGTAAAACGACGTAACTCTGAATTTAGTATATTTTTGTTTTTACCTAATCTTTAGTTTTCCCGGAGTATTTGAATTCAATTATGTTAGCATTAAATATTGTATTCGAAATTTTAGAGTTAGCTTGAAAAAAAAACGATCATTTGTTAGAAGTTTTTTTAGTTTTTTTTCATTAATTTCTGTAAGCATTACTTACGCTCTTTTATTACATCTCGTTGTTAGCTTAGCTTAGTTTCCTCTTTAACCAAATTCAGGCCGAGTTTGCTTGAGTTTTACACAATCTCTTTTAGGGTTTTCATTTGTTTGTTTAACAGTGATTCTTTCGATTTTTTTTGCTTTTTTTATACATTTCGCTTTCCCATCGTCAATATCGGTAATATACACTTTTTGGGTCACTTTTTTTATATTCACCCTTTTGCCTATCAATAACATTTTTTTTTTGTAACTTTTTGAATTCTGTTTGGTCACAGTTGAGAACACCTGTTTAACATATTTGACATGTCATAAGTATTTAAGAGCTACTCATTTGTGTATTCTCAGAGTTTGTACTCTTATTCCGTATACATACATCATTTTTCGTTAAGTTGAGCATTGTATGTACATAGCACATTCATATTCATATAGAAGTAAGCACACTCGCTGTAAGGCGGAGAAAGGGCATTTATTGTAACTAAAACAAATTGAATAAACACACTCGTTTTGGAAGTCAATCAGAGCGCATCGTTTGCCTTTTATTTAAAGTTTGCAACTAGCATTTTGGTAAATATTTTTAATATATTTTGCGGTTGTGAAAACCCTCACAATCCTACATTTTGGCGCCCAACGTGGGGCACGAACCCACGACCCTGAGATTAAGAGTCTCATGCTCTACCGACTGAGCTAGCCGGGCGCGCTCCCAACGCCCAACGTGGGGCACGAACCCACGACCCTGAGATTAAGAGTCTCATGCTCTACCGACTGAGCTAGCCGGGCGCGCTCCCAACGCCCAACGTGGGGCACGAACCCACGACCCTGAGATTAAGAGTCTCATGCTCTACCGACTGAGCTAGCCGGGCGCGCTCCCAACGCCCAACGTGGGGCACGCTTCTTTAATAAAATAATCGAGCATCCCCATCATTTTCGTCTTCGCTGGAGGCTCGCATTGGTGGATTCCATCGTGGTCATTTCCAACATCTGAACACGCAAATTGCAATATCCAAGGTCAGATAAGAGTCATTGGGACCAAGTCTACACCATTCCACCCGAAA